GAGAGGAGATGAGAAAAGGAAGGTCAGATTTACTACAAAACATTTTATTGTCTTTAATGTTCCCAGAATCAGAATTAATCTGAAGTGATACCCATAGATTTGCTAATTCCATTTTGATTTTTATATCAGATAATAAAATTGTATCATCAGTGAAGGTCAAAAGAAATCACTCAGCAAAAGGCAAATTCCACAATCAGGGCTAAATTGAAATAAAAATAACATATTGTAGACTGGCCAGGGTGTGTATGTGGAAGGTGTATAATTAGTATGAAGAAAATACTATAAATGTTTAGCAAAAAATACAATGAATAGTAGTGTCTGATCTCTGCCTAAGTGTTCATTCTAGTCACTCCATAAATAAAATATGACACATAGGTTTCTGTCTTTGCGATTTTTTATTGATTTTCAAAGGTTTTTTTCTGGGGGGAAAATAGGTTAAATAGGTTTTCTTTGATTAAAGATGCATACACTGCGCTATTTGTGCTAATTACAAGCAGCTTCAAATACCTGAGACAGGAAGGCTCAGAACTATTATTCATTAATGGTAAAAACTACAGTACTGTAGATTCCACCCATTTTTTTTATTTTGAAACAAGGGAGGCATCATTGTTTGAAGCACATCTTGAACATTTTTATATTGTGTGAAATGTAACCTGGTACATTTTTACATGTTTGAGCAAGCAGAACTTTCCCAAGCTGCCTTTTGCTTTAGGTATGAGATGCAACCTACATTGTCAATTGTATGCCAAAACCATGCCTAGTAATTCCGGAATATTAATTCACACCAGGAACAGTTCACAGAAGGAGTTCCGATTCCATTTTGAATCTGTACACATGTGATTAAAGAATAAGTATGTTTTTGAAAAGTGAGCCGCATCAGAAAATAAAACTGGGGGGAGGGGAAATTACAACTACTGTACAGTAACAGTTTGGGCTGGATTTGTTCAAAGTAAAACATATTTGCATGCTTGCAGTAATACTCTGCAGGATGTATCTCAATCATACCAGGATGGTGAAGTTAAGATGATCTAGTACAGGGGTAGGCAATGCTGGCTCTTTTATGACTTGTGCACTTCAACTCAGAATTCCTGAGCCAGCCATGCCAGCCACCCTGATCTAGTATAAGTTCAATGGGTTTCCTGTGTAATGCAACTGGTATTAGATTATTCTAAGCAGACCAAGAGAACCAGTTTTGTGTGGTGGTTAAGGTATCATTCTGGAAACTGGAAGACAGTGAGTTCTAGTCCCGCCTGAAGCACAAAACCCACTGGATGACTTTGGGCCAATCACTTTCTCTCAGCCCTAAAAAGGAGGCAAAGACAAACCACTTATGAAAAACCTTGCCAAGAAAACCAGAGGGACTTTTCCAGGCAGCCTCTGGGAATTAGATAGGTTTGAACGGAAGGGGAAAAAACACACTATACCTAATCAGAATAATAATTGATTATATGTAGATGAGTTCAACATTTATTCAAGACATTCTAATACATAAAGCACCAGAAAAATGCTCATAATGATGGGATAAGAGTGTGCACTTAGTACATTTAAACAACGTTGTCAAAGACTTGGAAGCCTAACAAGATAAGTCTGCTTTTCCTAAGAACATTTTCTTTGAGCAGTCAAACTCCTCTTTTCAAAGCAGTGAGATATCTACATCATATAACTGTCCCCAAACTCCGAAGGGCACTAATTTTAGCACACTGCAATGCACTTCTCACAGCAATTTTAGAGGGCTAGTATAAAAAAATTCCATATGAGTTGAGCCTGCTCCCCTATGGACAAGGGACTATTGAAACTATAGCTCACGTCCTACTATGCTGTGCCTTCTATAAGGACTCTGATAAAGCACCCAGGAAACAGTGTTTTTTAAATGTACAATTGCTATTATCGGAGCATGAGAATGAGAAATGCTCACCAACAATCTGCCACTAATTATAACTTTTATTATTGTTGTTATTTGTAATGCTGGTCTGTGACCATAATAAAAAACAAAATTATTAAGCACTTTTAAAAGTGTAGGATACTGTTTCTAAATCCATGGACTGCTATTTGCAGGTATCTGAAATACCCTATTATATTTGGAAACAATGTTGCTTTATTGGAAATGTATTTATTTTACTCCATTGTAGCATATATAATTCTTCAGATTCACCTACCCCCATTGTGTTAAAATAGTTACATAAAATGGCATTTGAATGTCATTATCAAACATTAAGCTATTGTTATTTGTCAAATTTCTATTTGTCTTCCTTCTGCATATTAGCATTTCATCCAGAGCTACAGAGTATTTTATGGTGCCGCATGCTATAATATCTCAGTGAAAATAACTATGGATTGTCTAGTGAGAAAGACGAAGCATTGCAAGGCATCACTTTAACTGAAATGTTTGAACCAACTTCTAATTTCTGGATTTAGATAGGGTTAACTTAACGTGGATGCAAAAATCCAGAACATTAGATAGCAGGAAAATGTTTTTTGTATCTGCTGGCTGCTCTTCATTTTGTTACCATCCAAATATGGGAGTGCTACTTGAGAAGGAAAGAAAGAAACTGTACTTTCTAGAGTTGTAGAATGGTGGTACATTAAGGTGACCAACGTTTTTACAATGAAAAGGAGGACACAAATAAATTGAAGAAAAAAATATCGTAAATAAAAGAAACATTTTATTCATTGCAACAATAATACAGACAACTTGCATGTGCAAAGTTTTCCAGCCGGGTGTTTTGGCGTGCTCAGCAGCAATTCCTATTGGCTTTCGAAAGCCAATAGTGGGAGTAGCACAGCTCATGCAAAAGTTGAAAAAAAAACCCATCAAAAAAAGGTGCCGGAACGCCGTTCTGAGCGTTCTATGAGGAGAAAAAAAGCCCTGCAGATTAGTCTTCAAATATCGAAAAGGAGGACATGAAGGAGGACACTTTTTGAGGGAGGACAGAACTTAAAAAAGGAGGACTGTCCTCCCTAAAGGAGGACGGTTGGTCACCTTAGGTACATTGATATTCCCACAATTACAAAAAGTACCTTTTTGGGATTGAATCTGCAATGTCCTAAAAGAAAGATATTCAGACATGGAAACTTACTAGGACTTTGGACCAATTATACTGTCCCAGTCCAACCTATTTCTCAGGATTGTTGTGGGGAAAAAATAGAGGAGGAATGCTATGTATGCCATCTTGATCTCCTAAATGAAAGGTGGATGTAAGTCTGATTAATGATAATTGTTAATAATAGTTTTGTTTTGATGTATTTTTGAACCACAATTCAAATACAGTCAAACTCGGGACTGTTTTTCAAACTTGACAACTTTAAAATATGTGGACTTCAATTCCCAGAATTCCCCAGCCATAATACATCTTAGAGTTGCCAAGTTTGAAAAACACTGCTCTGGGAGCTTCTTGTAATTCGTATATCTTATATTGAGCACATTTCTAATTTTTTGTCAACTTGTGTACTGAGAAATTGTACTGCGGTGATGAAGTATTTTAACAACCCCTAAACCGCTGCCAGCTTTAGGCTGGTAGAACAGTAATGCACAGTAGTAGTAGTGGTGGTAGTAGTAATAGTAGTATAGAAATAGTTGTGTTTCTCTCTCTTTTTTCAGCTATTCTGAAAGCAGTTTCTCTTTTCCCTTGAATCCAATGGGCTGAATATAGTTAGCCATTAAAACATTATATAGACCTCCTGGTCACAGAGAAAGACATTCTTACTAGTGGAAGATTTATCAAAGTTGGGGGCTGGCATTGAACTTGTTTACTTTTACACCAAATGAAAAGTATAATCATAAGCTAAAATTTAGAACAGTGGGCATCTTAAAGTGTGACTACTAGATTCAGGGGGCAAAAATCTGGATAACCATTAGATGACAGCAAGGAGAGGCAGAAAACTAGCTCTTTGTTGCTGTCTTGTCGTCATGCATCCCAACTTGATAGTTCTAAAGTTGGTTTTGTTGAATGACTGTACCTATGATTCCTACTGAACAAAATGTTTTATGGAAATTCTCAGTCATCCATGTCATAGTTGTCCGAAAGGTGCTTTTTCAAGAGGCAACTGGACTTCAAAGACTAACAAGGAAGTCCAGTTGCCTCTTGAAAAAGCACCTTTGGGACTATTGAACAAAATGTTTTTCATGTTACAGTTGTGTTAAAACCAGATATTTTGATCAGAAATGGCATAATTTCATCTTTGATTTGTCTGTTGTGAGCTGCTAGTAATTCAGCTCCCATTCTTCAGATCCTGCTATATTTATCATTGTCATCCATCTTAATGAGAGCATAATGAAAATAAAATTAATCTTACGAGAAGTTTCAGTATTCCTGGTGGCACTTTCTATGTATCTAAAATCCTACTTATGTTTTGATGTGCATTTTTCTTGACCTCTATCTCTACCAACTCCTTGCCAGATCAACTTTCCAAGAACTTTGTATTTTATTGATCCATAGTTCCAAATTAGGTGGTCTTCACATACATTAGAGCAACTCCCATCGGGATGGGAGCAGGCCTGTTCTGCTGAGGCTTGGTTTAGTGGGGCTGCCTCTCTACCAAAGAAGAGGGTGGGAAGGTGCATGTCCTCTTTTTCCTCTGCTGAGACTGGTGATAACCGCCAGGTAGGAGCCAGGGAGCAATAGGTCACATTCCTGGTTCAGAGTCTTGGGCCATAAGTGATTGTGGAAGATGCAAGCTCCCCCAGGTGAAGGGCCACCTATGGATGGCTCAAGGAGGGAACATACAACTTCCCCATCCAGGTTCTCTTGCAAACTCCTCCCTTTTTGCTGCTGTGGTTTTCAGCAGTCTGGGGTAGGAAAGAGGTAAGCAAGACTGCAATGTGGGCTTGCCTCTACATTCTTTTTTCTGTTCCTCCTCCACCTTTCACTACAAATTCTTGCAGGGAATGGTCTTCCTGTTTTAATGAGCAGGAAAACGGGGGGGGGGGATAACCAATTCCTCCCTGATATGAGTCTCCCATTTCCTGGAATTTATTTGTTTCCTTGGTTTGTTTGTTTCAGGGCTGAAAGATGTCTAACTCTAAAAAGAAAATGGGGTTCGGCATTGTCACCTCTTGAGAATCCAGATCCTGCTCCAATGCTGGGAGAAGCCCAGCTGCAGCCAGCAGCACCTCAGCTCCTGTGATCCCAAATCTTTTGCCTTCCAAATCCACGTCTCAAGTCTGATCACTTTATTCTGCCTGCTAGTACCACAAATGGCTACACAGAGAAAGCACTTTGTGAAAGATTTCAACCCATATATCACCTGCTGCATCTGTAAAGGGTATTTGATCAAGCCAACTACCGTCACCGAGTGCCTGCATACTTGTAAGTAGGGATTTGTGAGGCATCCTTTTTTCCCTGCTGCAATTAGTGCTCATTAATCAATCAATTAATTAATGCTTTGGCACTTGTGAGATTAAGGCTGGTGGTTTAGAAGCCATTAATGTTTAATATTTACTAGAACATATTTCAGTATACATTGTCACTTACAAGATATGTTTGAATTATTAATTAATAGTAAGAAGTTGGAAACCATGAAGGGAGTTTTAATAGTAGGATCATAGTTTTATTTATCTATTTTTATCCTACATTTATTTATTTTGTTGTTTATTATAGTTTTATCCCATCTTTATTACTTTATAAGTAACTCAAAGCAGTGAACATACATAATGTTCCTTCCTCTTTTTATTTTCCCCACACAACAGTGCTGTGAGATGGATTGGGCTGAGAGGGACTGGTTGGCCCAAAGTCACCCAGCTGGCTGTCATGGCTTTCATACCTGGTTTTTAGCCTTGTACTTTAACCAGTAAACCAAACATATATGACAGCAAGAAACATAGAGCATCTGCCTAGATCAGGGGTGTCAAACTGCCGGCTTGTGGGCCAGATGCGTCATGGCGAAACAGCACCCACCCCATTGCCAGCAATGGGAAAAAAGTTGCAATACGTCGCGACACGTCACATGGCACTAGATCCAGATATTCTAGGAATCAAGAGTATTTCAGCAGAAAGTGGAGTGTGGGAGACATACTATAAATGAAAAGGGTACATTTGCAAGTGTTTAGAAAAATATCTCTCCCTCCTCATATGTTAACAATAGCCACTATAACACATACAGGTGTTCAGAGTACCTCCTCCTCCAAGGTTATTAGCTGAAAGCATGAGACACAATATTTAACCATATAAAAATGGACATAATAATCACATAAACTGTACAGTGCTAAATCAGGCATAATTCTTTGTAGCTTTCATAACTTGATTTGACAATCTTAAATATCTTAAAACTTCATTGCAAGAATGGTCTTGAATCTTCAAGCTCAAGCATTTGGGTTTTCAAATAACGTGGAAAATCAGGATATATTTCTAGTAGATCTTGGGCTATTAGATTTCCTTAAAAAAATCAGTAATTTGCAGTTAGTATTTACATATTTTCCTAAAACACATCTTATCTGATTTTGCAGTCTGCAAGAGTTGTATTGTGCAACACTTTGAAGACAGCAATGATTGTCCCAGATGTGGCAATCAAGTACATGAGACCAATCCATTAGAAATGTTACGGTAAGGGGTTATTTAATAAATTATTTCAAAGGAAAACAGTTTAGCAACAATGTTATGAAATAAGAAAAAAATGTATCTAGTGCTGGAATTCCAAATTACCAACATTTTAGATAATTGAGAATAATAGAATAGTTCTTTATCACCTTAACAAAATGTTAGTCATTGAATCTTGTTAAAATCAATTATTATTAAAATTTGCCACACATTTTAAATTAGTTTCAAATATAACAAAAGGATCTGCCCTTGTTTCAATCAACTCAGTTTCAGTTTTACAGGTCACAAATCATTAATTTCCCAGATTTAAATATCGCCAACCAATTTTCAATTATACTGGAAAAAATCCTTTCTTTACATCATCTAAATATTTTTGCACATATGCTTTGCAACTATAATAAGATACTGTTCCGTGATATGATATGTACTCAACTTTTTTACCTTCTCTTCTTGCTCAACTCCGAAAATACTTTGACGTGATTTATTTTAGAAAAACTCTTCCCCTGGTACAAATCCCACCTCTCTCTAGTTTTTTGATGGCTTTTTTTTATGAGCTTAAACAATACTGGGTATCAGCACATATAATAAATGGCTTTCCCTTTCTTCCTATCAACCATCCAAATGTCATGAGCAGCAGGAAAGCAAACATCTTCCTACATTCACTAACAGTCTACTGCAGAGGTCCCCAACCTTTTGGGCACCAGGGACCGGTTCCATGGAGGAAGGTTTTTCCACAGACCGGAGAGTGCGTGGTTTTGTGTGCTGCCTGCATCCCACGGATGGGGCTTTGCTTGTTTGTGCAGACCAGTTGCTGGCATGCTGCATCCCAGTACTGGTCCACGGACCGGGGGTTGGGGACCCCTGGTCTATTGAACAACTAACTGACACGGACTCACACTGCAGGATTCCCCAGAAATATGGTTCACTGACAGGGAACTACAGCACCTGCAACAAGACATATGCTCTTTTTTTAGGCAAACAAAACTCAGTGGCAGGAAGCATCATGGATAACAGATATGAAGGTTCTAAACAATATGCTCATTATGGAAGAGAATGAAGTTTCTAGGAAGAGAGTAGTGATGAGGAATGATGGGAAACTACAGCAACATGGTGATAGCTGCTGGTCTGTGTTTTGCCTTGATTGAAGGGGTTAAAGAAAAAAAAGAAGTGATGTTTGTTTTTAGAAAAACAATGTCTTTTAATCTGCCAAAATAGCAAATACAATGCAAGGAAACATTAAGTATAAAACCAGTTGGCAAAACAATAATGCATTAAACTTTTACTGTACACTTTGTGCCCCATTGCTGCTAGCTGAATAAGTGTAGGGGTCAGAAGGAGGCAGGAAAGGACTGGCATATAGCCCTCCCATCTTCCCTTACATCACATAACCTACAGATTTCTGGGAAGTGTAGTCAGAAGGAGCAGTGGAGCTGAAGTGGTCACAACTTTTCCAAATTTCATTCCCACAAGAGTCATGGGTCACAGCATTCTGTAAGTTATCCATTTGAATTATCTTGGTTCAATAATTGTTGTCCTACCTTCCAATTCACTTGATTGAAGGTTACAAGTAGATAAGGGAGTTCCAGTAGGATATATGTATACATATTGTTTTCAGTGTCAATAATTGTAGCTAATTTTTAATTAGACTAAGAGTTGTATCTTTTGAGATCTTATGGATTGCCAAAAATACAAATGAATGTTTTCTTGTTGAAGAAGTATGCTAGTCTAAGATACAAGGATTTTTTTGTGTATATGTGTGTGCATATGTATAATTTTATTCAGAAAATCTAAGTATTAAAAATGGAAACAGTACATATAAAATTAAATAGGTTTTGCAATTACATGCCACATCAAAGCATCACTCCAACTGACCTTTTCCTTTGTTTGTATATTCATGTCCTACTATTACTATTTTCTCTCTGCCTGGGAAAAATTAATAACTTATGCATGGCTATCTATGCAAAATAGCCATGGAATCAGCTATATGAATATCTGCTCAAAATGTCTAAGTATCTGTTATTTTAAATCTCTGGTATCTTATTATTTTTCTAGTCCAAGGTGATGGCGGTAGCAGCAACAAAGAAAGAAGTGTTAGAGTATAAACTGATTGCTTGAATCAGGGATTAATTCATTAAAAACGTGTTTATGCATTCATTTATAAGCTTGTTCTGAACACAGCTGACATGTTCGTTGTATCCTTTACATTATGACCCCCATTTGTTCTTCAGTAATTTTAAGAATATAGATACTCTTGGCATTAATTTGAATAGTTGTGGATCAAAAATTACAATATACACCAAGATATCTGCTCATCCCACTTCTAAGCATATTTATAAATAGTTAATATCATTACCCAATTATGGATACACTTTAGTATCACTATAATAAATGGCAATTCAAACAATTTAATGGGCTTCAGATTCTGACAATATCTTGAAGCAAGTCTGTTGGTTCTAACCTAGTAAGATAATAAGACAGATATGTTTCTGGATGGGGTCATTATGCATGTGTATATGTGTTGGTAGACTACTTCTCCTCTTCAGAAGAACATTTGAGTTCTTTCCAATTCTACATTTTAGCCAAAAGAATATCTCCCCGATCAATTTCATAGTCCTCAAAAGAGCAAGGATTAGCTCAAAATTCATTTAAAGTTGTTGCCATTCAGAATTACAGAGCAAACAATAGAGCCCCATTAGCTTTATGGAATCAAAAGTCAAATTACACATATTGCTATCTTTGGGAGTACATCTCTTCCCTACAGAACAGTCATGGAGTTTGTAATCACTTTCAGAACATTTGCTCAAAAAGAAATTGAAAATATATTTAGAATAGCTCTGTTATTTCCCTTTGAAGTTCTCTAATGTATGCCCGTAATGTCTGTTAATATATGCATATATACATATTAAGCATTTTGAGTTGTTGATTTTTTTTCTTTTCAAGGCTGGATAATACTTTAGAAGAAATTATATTTAAGCTGGTTCCAGGACTTCGAGAGAGTATGTTTTTGCTCCTCTTAACAAGATTATTCATTTTTGTAATCCTGTTGCATTATTAATTTTAGTTACAAATTTGTTTTTTGTTACTAAAAACTAGAAGAATTGCACCATGAAGCTGAATTCTGGAAGAAAAACAAACCTATAGAAAATGGAAAAGGTATTTACATTTATTTCACAATGTAACATTTTAACTTCCAACTTATTAAAATGTCAGAAACTGCAGTCTTATTTTTCACTTGCATTTGTTAATAAATGCAGATATGTACATCTTACTGAAGGAACAAGCCATCCACCATCAGTGCCTTTATTTTATATTACTTAAACTTTAAATAATTAAGTGTCATAAACTGCATTACTGATTTCAAGTACTTCAGAACATTTTCTGCCTCACCTAAGTTTGAAAAGCAGAAGTAACACCTTCTCCCAGTTCCCTCTCAGAGAAGTTTCTTGTAGAAGTTGCACAGCAAGTGCAATAGAAAACAGCTGCTCCAAACAGAATGGAACTCTCTTGGCACTGCTTCAATAAGATACATGACATTGGTTTCAAGAAAACTTGGCCTAGATTGCAATCTTAGCTTGTTACTTTCTACATTGCTATCTATGCACTTTTTTTGGTTTCAGAAGAAAATGCAAATTCTGAAAATCCTAAAGATGGTGAAAATGGAGATGAAAACCAAGATAATAAAGACTATCACAGGAGCGACCCACAGATTGCTATTTGTCTGGATTGTTTACGTAACAATGGGCAGTCTGGTGATAATGTAGTAAAAGTGAGTTTTGAACTCTTTATACAGTATTAATTAGTAGAATGATGCAGATTAAACAGGTATGATATAAACAAGTAAGATTTGTTACTTAAATGCTGTTTTTCTATAATTAAAGGAAATCTGAACTAATTTCTTAATTTTTTTCTGCAGTTCCCATATCTGAGTCTTCATTCCACTGTCTAAGTGAGCTAATTTTAAAGTTCTAAATATAATTAAAAGTTAAGAAACTCCAATTCTCTGTCCCTGTAGCTGGTGCTGTTGAAAGTTACAGTACAATAATATTTGTGGGACTTCAAATTCCACACATCTGGATTAAAAGAAAAATATATTTTATTAACAGAAGAAGAATCAACATCTTGCCCCCAATTGGTTTTTCTTTGTTATATCACAAATATCAAATAGTTTTCTTTGTTATATCACAAATATCAAATAGTTTTCATTAGAAATTAAATAATAAATAATGTATCAAAGAAGTCATCACATTTAGTGAACTTAATCTGTATAAAATCATTCTTGCATGTCAGCATAAGATATTATATATTGTAGCATTGGCTAGAATTCAAGCCAGTTTAGTCTAATGGTTAAGGCACCAGGCTAGAAACTGGGAGACCCTGAGTTCTAGTCCCGCTTTAGTCATGAAAACTGGCTGGGTGGTAGGCCAGTCATCCTCTTTCAGCCCAACCCACCTCACTCACAGGTTTGTTGTGAGGAAAATAAGTGGTGGAAGGTGTTGGATACGTCACCGTATTGAGATGTTTGTACAAAATAATAAAGACAAGGTATGTATAAATAAGTAAATAAAATTGATAGGTTATCAGATTACGTAGGTAGCATTTGGAGTGTAAGCAATTCAGATTTTAATATCTAAGTTTATAGTTTTTGTCTCTCTTTTTTTAGGGGTTGATGAAGAAATTCATACGGTGTTCTACACGAGTAACTGTAGGAACGATAAAGAAATTTCTAAGTTTAAAATTAAAGCTTCCAAGTTCTTATGAGGTATGATGTTCTAACACCCAAAGTAGTAGATGCTGTCCTTTGACTAAGTGAATTTAAATGATCACAACTTTAGCTACCTAAACCATTTTTCTTTGCGTTGCAAATATGGAATGTCATATAGTGCATTAATAATCTTTTTCCTTAGTGAAGTGTTCATGAGACTTATTCCAATGTAAATTGGCATTCAATTGCACTTTAAATGTCATAATCCAATTTAAAGTCTCTATTTTATTGAAGGTGGTCAATCACCAAGAGAGAAAAAGAGTAGACTATTAGAACATTTTATAAATGGCTTCCATCTGAAAACTTTTCATCTGAAAAATTATTTGGAGTATTACAATCCAAACAGAATACAAAATCATACTAGAAGGCATGTAACTCTGAAATTGGATGTAGATTTATTTTAAAACGAATGCGTAAAGCAATTTTCTTATGTTGTATATATATATAGTATAAAATAGATAAAAAACTCACGATCACCAGGAGAACAAAGAGTTTAAAACTTTAATTTAAAACCAAGCTTTCGCTGGGAGCTCCCAGCATCATCAGGGTTAACAAGCCAGTCTATAGGTGTGCCTTAAGTAAGGTTGTTTAGCATCTGCGCTCGGCTCCTAGAGCGCGTGACCGGCCCCAACCAATCAGCCTGTGACCTAATTATTCCTACCACACCTGCGTTTTGGTCTCCTTTCTCACATTTAAAGGTTGCTCTTTTTGTTTCAATGACATCAGCTTTGCTGCCTGCTGAAGTTCCCTTCCCTCCCTCCCTTCTCTTAGAGATGTTCTCTTAGAGATATATATATATCAGTATTTATGACTGCATTATTTGGATCACAATTTACTTTAGTATATGCTTTGTGTGCTAATGGCCTTAGATCCTGTCCTTGAAAAGAAAAAGTTTAAAAAAATAATTTTGCAGATGATATTAAAGACCATGCTTAAACTCCTGGATAATTATTGTCACCGTGCTGAATTGGATGGCTAAAATAGTATAACATCAGGTTTTTTTAAATTTTCTTATGCCAAATAAAACTTTAATTTTTCTCCTTCTCTCATATTGAAGATATACTGCATATAAAACAGCATAAGATAATTTCCTAATTTGCATATTCATGTTGCCATAAAAAATACAAGTATGTAACTCTTCTATTCTTTTAAAAACATCCAATGATTTAGAATAAAGACCAAATGAATCCCAAAATAAATATTGGGGTGGGGGACAGGTAAGTGTGTTTAACAGCTGTAATAAAGTGTTCTAAACACTTTATTTTAAGCAGCTTCTTTAGATGGGAGATACAGTTTGTGTTTGGGAATAATAATTAAAATCAACATAAGTAGCTAAAAAGTCATTTTGTTTGCATTTTGTTCATTAAATATCTATCTTGCATAAGAATAATCATGCTATGGTAGGTTTCTAATCTCTTTTTTCGCTTATATATTAATGATTCTCTTCTAGGAAAGATGAAAATAACTCAAATGTTTTTAAAATACTTCTTCAAGTAACTGTTTTTTGTTTTAAAGCTGGATGTACTATGCAATGGGGAAATCATGGGGAAGGATCATACTATGGAATTCATCTACATGACAAGATGGAGACTACGAGGCGAAAATGTAAATGAAATAAGTTTTTATTGTTTTTAGTTTATATATATATTTATATTAATTATAGGGCTTTTAGCTATATATTATATTAATTACATTAAAGCTTATTTTAGTGTGTGTGTGTGAGAAAGAGAGAGAGAGAGAGAGAGAGAGAGAGAGAGAAAGAGAGAGAGAGAGAGAGAGAGAGAGAGAGAGAGAGAGAGAGAGATATCTCGTCACCATCATGGGTGGTCTATTGTATGTCTTCCTCAAACTTGGGTCCTCTACCAGAGGCCTGGGAGTTTGAGGGTTCTAGTGTATACAGTATCTTCACTGTTTCTAGCACCACAGTCTTCTGGACAAAGCTCTGATGCTACTGGGCTCTGCTGGAGCCACTCTCCCAGCTTAGAAATCACAGCCTGAATGCTTCTTCCATGACTGGGACCAATTCGGCCTTTACTTTTCCATACCCTCTCCAGTTCCTCTAGGCCCTGGTACTTACCCAGTTTCTCATATACCTTCTTCCTGATGTTGCTGTCATTTGGCACTGCTACATCTAAAAACAGGGCTTCCTGCCATTTTTAAAGTATTTGCACTTAACAAAGTATGTCTTGTTTGTTCACTACTCGAGGAAGAAGACAACCAGGAAGGACACTACATCCTCACACCGGACCTTAAATTTCCTCTATTTGACCACAAATTGTTAGAACTCTATTCCCAATCCAATAAAGTTGAAGAGAGGTAGAAGTTATGACGATAAATTTATCCGGAAAGATTCGGTATACCCGTACACCTTGATTACTAACAAATATCCTAAAATAAATCTTTACCAGTTCGTGGGTCCATTGCTAGAGTTCATTGAAAGAATGCCAAAAAGACAATTGGTAGTAAGGCGTGCAAAAAATAAAATAGAAACAGACCACCAAAAAGCGCAAAGTATTTGGCCAGCTTTTTTTGCTTTTCAAGATTTCCTGTTATCAGCAGCCAACAGTTTAGATAGATAGACGAAGTGGAATCAGTAATTGCCAGAATTTTCCTAGGGTGGTGAGAATTACCAAGGAAGAGGTAATCTTTTTGTCAAACAACTTAGTCTATTTTCATAAAGGGAAGTAGGCTGATACATAAGAAAAATTAGGTAGAAAATGGAGCAACTATTCCACCAAATTCAGAGATCTGTAGGCCAGAGAAGGCTAGAATTTGTTGTGCTTTTATTATTTAAATTCAGGAAAATCTTGACTTTAAACAGGTGGGTAAAGTATATAACAGTGGTGGCGAACCTATGGCACGCGTGCCAGAGGCGGCACTCGGAGCCCTCTCTGTGGGCACACGTGCCATTGCCCCAACCTTGCCTCCCCCCACGACCCTCTCCTCACCAGCAGCCCCCCTGGAGGAGAGTTGCCCCCGAGCATGGCCCATACAGAGCAGGGCAGCCAAGGACATGGCAGCCAGGCAGCGTAGACAAGACTCTGCCCTCATGCCCCATCCCGCACAGTTGATGCTGCGGGGTGCGGGCAGAGGGCGTGGCCACCATGGCGCTGCTGGGCTGCCTGGGCAATCTGTGGTGGGTCCTGGAGGCGGTGAGTGGCCCTGCGGGCAGGGGGGTGGGGGGACGGGGTGGGGGCGGGGCGGAGGTGGAGCAGGGGCAGGGCCAGTTTTTGGGCACTCGGTCTCTAAAAGGTTCGCCATCACTGGTATATAATATTCTTAGCAGGTTTAATATAAATATAAAAGGACTTAGAGGAAGGGCACCGACCTTAGTGACATCTTCAATTAAAGGTCAGAGAGCAAGTAGTGGAACAACTCTGTCTGAGACTCAGGAGAGTTGATAGAATAGGCAATGCCAGTCTAGCTGGCCAGTAGTTTAACTTTGTTAGTAGAGATGGGGCACATCTCTACTAAATAACATTTATTTTTCCAAAAAGCTAGTTATTTAGATAGCATCCAACTGTATGAAATTCACAAATGTACAGTTTCAAAAATATGAATTGTAGATAGCACATCGGCATGTACTATGAAGAAACTCATTTTGGAAAATGACCCAGATAAATTGAAAAAAAGATTAAATAACAAGAATCCAATTAACTTTGGGGTACAAAAAGCAACTTCTCAGATTTCTGAAAATGTCATCTTAAAACAGTATTATAATTATAGATACAAATGTCAAAACAATTGTGACTAGGAAAATAAAATACTCAGATCTAAAAAAAAATATTGTCTGGTCTAGTGTTTCATGAGAGCAGTTCTGTTGTATGGATATATGTAGGACTGTTCCATATTTCTTTATCTGCTAACTTATTTTCTCTTTTAGTTAAACCTATAGTTTAACTCTCTTCAGTACATTGGTATGCTTAATAAATATTTACATTTTATCCATTTTTTGAATATTTAATGAATCTAAGAAAGTTGAACTCTACAAAATAATAATTCCCGTTATCTAACATGGAATAGGAGTATTCTTTGGAAAGGCTTACTTAAAGCCTTTTAAAAAAATACATCTCTCTAAAAGTTGCATAATTCTGCATTTTAATAATTGTTATAAATTGGCTAGAAATAGATGATTGCCATTTTTATGGGACCTATTTTTTTTACTGAATTCACAATTAGTGTAATTAATGTTAATGTTAATTAAATTTGTTGCCATAGTTTTTGCCTGCAAAATTCTTGGCAATATAGAAATTTGAATTTTTTGCAAATTTTATTGCTAACCTCTTGCTGTCTCCCTTTGCCTCACCGCTGTTCTTATTTTTATTATGTTGTGCTTTTTAATGACACATTGCTGCCTTAAAGCATTCATATATGTCAGGGATACTTTAATTCAACTGGGGGGGGGATTCCCAATATCCACCTCCCCATCCACTTTCAGTTATATCTAAGATAATCCATGGGGTTGTTTGTAGCCAATACTGGGAGAACAAGAAATCAGCATTAAAAAAATTCTGGCAGCCATATAGCTCATTTCCTACAGGTCAGAAAATTACATTCTTGAATATGAAACTATTTTTAAATTACTGATTATCAATGTTCAGTTGTGGATGCCTCTTATCTGATCAGAAAATCATCTCCTTCGCAGTTTCGGTGTCAGAACTGCTCCTCATCACAAGTCTGCTCACAGGATGGCTCTTTTTATCAGGTAAGAGGCACTCCCGACTGTACACATTGTAGTCATTAAGGCAATATTCTTTGAAATTCAGTTTAGGTGGGAGCTGAATGTGTCTTTCATTTTCTGCTAGATTAAGTTCTTTAGACTAAATTTAATTATAAAGATTGAAGTCTTGGGTTTTTGTCTGAATGTTTACCTAGATTTTTAAAAAATTGCATGGGGCAAGCTATATTCATTAATTTATATCTTGTGTAGCATGCTATAGGCTCTTCATGGGCTCCCAAATTATAAAAAAACAGTTTTGTAAATCAGTTTGAAATAAAGATAAGTATGTTGTAATATTACAACGATTTAGATAGGTCAGATTTCCTATGCTGTTGATTAATTGTAGCACTTATAGTAAGGTATGATAGGATACGATGTGCATGAATATTAACCCATGGTTAATTGCAAGTTGACAGTCTTATTTTTTGTAAACTAATCAGACTTAATGCTATCATGTATTGCCTTCTTTGAAGCTTTGCTCACTTTAGCAATATTCTATGTAACTCCATTTATATTATCATGACAAAATAATGCAGCAATAGGATAATCCCTGAAATTATTTTGTATCTACAAGCATGGGACATTAAGATTACTGAATAGTGCTATAAATATTTTGCGAAATGAATATAACAGAAAATTGGTAACCATTATGGCTACACTATCTTAGTTGAATGATTGGGTGTTATGAATATTTGGTTTCATAATTAGGGGCTTCAAGGGATAGGAAGTTTAGGATTTTAAAATTATTTTTATGAAATATTAGAAATATATTGCCGAAATATTATCTTTTATATAGTGACCATATTTTCAAAGTAGGAGAGTTAGTCCAGAATGCCATAGAATATTAACCTTTGTCAGAATGGACTTCTAATCTGAAGCATTCATTGTATGTTTCAATTTTATTCTGCTCCCCAATTTTATATAACCAGGTATATATGGTAAGTCACCCTGCTAGGGGAGAAATTGAAAAAGCATTATGATCTCTTTATGGTGAGACCGTAAAATGCAGTGTTATATCCAGTATTAGAATAAATTTGCTTGTGCAAAGTCTATTACACATTGCCATCTGAGCTAGTCCTTTGCAGTTAGGTGCAGAAAGTACAGCCATAATTTCTGTAAATGGACAGTAATATTGGGGAAAATGCGTATCACTGCTTTGACATGTTCCTGTATTTTCAGATTATATACCTAAAGAGTGGGAGACTGTCATAAGGGAGATATGAATATGCAAATATTATTACAGAACATTTCTCATCATCCCTTAACATTGTTAACAGTGGCTAGATATGATGAGAATTGGACTTTAGCAACAGGTTGCACATACCAGATATTGATATGAAAAAGATCACACCCTAGTACATGGTTAACAAACACTGTTCAGGAATTAATTTTCTAAGGCAGTGTTTCTCAACCTTGGCCGCTTGAAGATGTGTGGACTTCAACTCCCAGAATTCCACAGTCAGCGTGCTGGCTGTGGAATTCTGGGAGTTGAAATCCACACATCTTCAAACGGCCAAGGTAGAAAAACAGTGTATATATTCTCTTGTTTAATTTTAAAAATTGCTAGTTTCTTGGTATCTAATGATGGTACTCTGTGTATCCCGAGAGAGAATTAAAATTACTTCAATACTGAAAACAACTGGTTTGGGGACAACGTCTCCCCCACCATTCCTTATAAAGGGTTATTGCTTTCTTTAGCCTCTCAAGCAATCCTTCTGTAGATAATGAGGAATTGCTTAGGAAGAAAAATGCTAGTGAATTCAGATTGTTGAGAACATGGCCAATTTATTTTTCATTTTGAGAATATTTATTGGTTTATTGATAAGCCAGGTGGACATGAGAGTTTAACTTATACCGCTCTTACCCTTGTATTATTTTGTTCCTTTTAACGTTGATGTGAAAGGACTTACTAACTAAATTCTGTTAAATAAACAAGCAGTGTAATGACTTAATGATTCATGTTCTACCTGCTATTATTGTCTCTGTTCTGTTTTCATTGTGGTTTTAGTCTTATCCCATGGTACTCCAGTATCGACCCAGAATTGACTTCAGTTAAACCAAAGGGCCAGATTCCACTGAGATTAAACCTGCACTATGTTGTTTACCCATCGACAGATTGCACAATGAATGGATGTGCCTGGATTGGGGGGGAGGGGGGAAACCACTCGAATTTCAACCTGCGAATATGGACTTCTCTTCAGTTGATCAATTACTTTGTCCCTACTGTTAGAATAAACCAAGTGCCATTCTGCAACTGAAACATTCACGATATATTTGTGGCATCAAAGACTGTAAATTATAGCCAAATCATTAAATGTATAGTTAAGAATCAGAATCTCTTGAATACTTGCTTTGCCTGATAGAAAACTTCCATAACACCAGTTACAATTAGAAAAAATAGCTGTCTTCTATTTCTCTTGTGGTATTGTTGTTTTTTCACATGTACTGTTTTACTGAAGAAAAAGTTGTTTAAAAGTACTGTATAAAAGGTTAAAACTATACCTTTAAATATTTTGTATATAATACATGTTTCAGAAAAGTGGTTATTTTACCACTACTTTTTCTTGTTCAGCTTCTCATAGAATCTGATGTAGTTCACTCATTGATATGCAGTGATCATTTAGCAGTATCTGAACAATTAGAATTTGTATCAAAGGAGTTGAAAACATCCAGACTGAATTGAACTTGACTGGTATAATATCATATGATCTCCTTTCAATAATACACAAGACTTTTATTTAAAGTTTTGATTTGGAGTAATAAGCACATAGGCACATGTGCAGCAGGTAAAATAAGAGTTTTTAAAAGAAGATATATTTTAAATTTTATTATAATTCAACTAAAAAGAAAAACACAAACTGTTGTGAAAACTTTATTCTCAAAGTGTGGGTTATATTTTTAATTGTTGTTGCCTTCCCTTTGAAATTTGGTAATAATACTAGAAAGTTGTGGGTTGAAATTGTGGTCTTAAATGTGTTGGATTACAGCCACTGGAATGGCACATGCTTCTGTATACTTTGAACATATTCAGTAATATGCATCAGTACGCTTATAAAATGGCCAGTTTAATTGCATCACAGGCACAGTCTAGGGTTACCAGGAATCTTACTGTTGTTATAAAATGGGTGTCAAGTGTGAAACTCAAGTAAATTTAAATGGTTACAAAGCTATGTGACCAAAACTACTGGCTGTTCAGGGTGTTTGGTTTTTTTTTTTTCAAAACAGTAGTGTTCAAAAATGTTAATGGTTGCCTTAGGTTACATGTGAATTCTTTCTTGTTCAATAATGTTGTGTTATGGATATTACTACAGAAATCACAATGTATTGTATACTGTTTTTTCTTGTCTTCCATTACCTTTTTGCAGTTAAAAACCAAGGTAACAGTCAAGTTTAATGATTTGTACAATTTTTAATAAACATCATTCTTTATATAGTAAATTACATACCATAAGTCAAGTAATTCAGTCTAGAAAACTATTGAGTTTTGGAAACTAAGCTCAAATACTGTATGCCTTCCTTGTAATACAGGGGTCTTGTAAGTAAGAGCATATAAAGTAGATCATTATTTCTAGAGGAAAAACGTGCTATTTGCACCAGGTCAAATCCCAGACTAATAGACTTGGTTCTAAGGTTCTAGTCTAGAGTAATCAGCTATAGATTAAAATACTGTGCAATGCTTGTTATGCTTGGGGCCAGCACTTTCTGACAAATACAGAGAATCCTCAGTTAAATGTTAAATCATCTGTTAAATGTTCTCAGCTCATTGAAAAAGTATCATTTGTACATGCTTCTTTTGTTAGATACAATTGGTTGGATCCAAATGATAGTTTCAGCTCTTGCCTAGGGTTTTTTCTTCTTTTTTGAATAGTTAAATACGCCCTATGGCATACTAAAAAAATAATTTTGCCATTCCCTTCCATTTTCAAAACAGCTGATACATTGCTTTTGAAGCTACTTTTAAATATATAAAACTCATTCTGTGAATCTTAGTCAGAATTTTGTATATTCTGATTGAGTTTACCCATTGTGCTTTGTTATCATAAAGTTTGTTTGGTTTTCGCTTAGCTTAAGCTATGAACCCATGTGGTTTGTAAACTATGATTGATGGCTTAGATAACATATTAACTCAGCTAGTCAATCATGCCATAACACTGAAAAAGTCAGATATAGTTGGGGACCTGATTACATAAAGTTGTACATAAAGCTTTTTCAGTCTTCAGTTTAACATGTATATAATGACAACAGATTTCTTAATGCATCCAGTGTCTTAAGAATGGCTTTGAATATTCCCTTCAACAAGGGGGTAAAAGATATGAGTGATTTGTGGGTTTCATTCCATAATTCTGGATAACCCCCAAAACTGCAATTCCCATATTTCTGGGATAAATGACTATGAACCTAGAAGTATGTATGTCTCCCCATGGAGAGGATACATAGGACATTACTTTTTCTTTTATCCCAAACCTTAGGAAATCGATGCATAGTTCAAATTTTCAGGGCTTTTGGGCAAATCTAAATTTGCCTGCTCCTAAGACATCTATCAATACAGATCAGTCCTACATAATGCCTTTATTACTTTTTCTGGTATTTTTGTAATTAATTGAAAGATCTTCCACTACTGCTGGGCAAACATGGCTAACTCATTAGCAGTGAGACTTATCTGTCCCTATATAGCAGGGGTCTTCAAACTTGGCCCTTTTATGTCTTGTGGACTTCAACTCCCAGAATTCCTCAGCCAGCTTGCCTGGCTGAGGAATTCTGGGAGTTGAAGTCCACAAATCATAAAAGGGCCAAGTTTGACGACCCCTGCTATATACTAATAGGGAGCATCTAGTCTTTTTCTCATGTCAGCATTCTGTCAGGCTCAGCATTGTTAAAATTAAACATCCATGCAACTGTAAAAGCATTCTTGATTTTACAATTAAGTTGTAAACAGTTTTTGTTTCAGATTTCCTCTGCGGAGTGAGTAATTATTGCTTTAGTTTGTCTCATTAGAAGAAATGTAATATTCCATAGGTTAATTCCAACTGATCTGTGTTACATTTTCAATCTCCTATTTCTTATTATATTGCAGAAGACTGAAGCATTTTGTCCAAATCATCCAAAATATTTTTCCCACTGTACCTAGCAGGGATTTTGCCTTTTGCAATACATAAAGGATCATATGAAAACAAATGTTTGGGCTCTGAGTAAAAAGACTTTCAACAGCAATTCAATGAATTTCCAGATTTCAGAACCAGTTTATTTCATTTTTGTAATATGATTTAACCATGATTAGTAAGATTTTTCCAAATGAGTTGGGAAAAAAGAGTGTAAAGGTCCGAGATATGACTTCTCAGCTGTGAAAGTAAAAGCCTTAAAATATTTCTTGCACATCTAACCTCCTTGTGGCCTACAAATTTGCATTTCTGATACAGGTGCATTGTACCTCTACATTGTAGATGCTTTTTGTCAAAATTCACAACATATTAATATAGTGTTAAAGAATCTGAGCATTTCCTTGTAAAACATGAAGAGAAGCTTTTATTTAGCCACTGAACCAAAAATTATATACGCTTTTACTCTACAATAATTTTCCACAAAGCGGCACAAAGGAAATGGAATTATCTATTAAAAGCAATAAAACAAAATTTAGTTGGGGAGTAGGTTCCCTTTTCATCAGTATCCTATTCACGTTAGATGCTTGTGAACGTGGCACATGTGCTCAGGCTTATTTCAAAATATGTCCTATTCTCTGAACAAGAGGAAACTCCAGGAGGGGCTGGACAGGGTTCCAATGGCTTGTGCGCCATGACATGATCATGAGGTGACTTTACCGACTTGCATCATATGCCATGAGGCCATTAACACAATTTGTATGACCACATCGTTTGTCCAGTGAAGTTTAGGTGTAACTCATAATGTACACTGCTGCTAGGAAGTACTGTAGTTCAGGGAGAAGCTAAATCTTTTTAGGTAGAAAAGTCTCAAAATAATTGGCATCTTCAGCTAAAAAACAAGTTCTATGTAGAAGTATAGATAATTCCCTGCAGTATGTGGAGATAGTACTGAGTTGATAGAAAGCACTACTGTAAAATATTTTAATATACTGTACTTTGAGGGAGAATGTGCTTGCTATATTGAAGCAAATGTCTTTATTTAAATGTTACAATTTAGATTTATCTGTCTGCACAAACACAAAGGTAAAGCTTATTTTTTTTGCTTTTGTTAATGGTATTTTAGCTAGCTAGCTGTAATACACTTTCCAGTTACCTTTATGACAAGTGACCTGTCATTTTTAATGGAAGCTCATCTCAAGTTCTTACATGATTCAATTATTTTAAATAAATTATGGAAATCTATAGACTATTAAAATATTCAGTTCTCCAAGAGAGAAAGCTGATGCTTGCCATTATTTACATGGAAAGTACTATGAAAGCTGTGCAGGAAGAATAAGATTCTGAATATTTTTGAGTTACTAAAACAAAGTAGATTGAATATGCAGTGGGATCCACTGATTTTCTATATGTGATAAACAGATTATAATAATATAAAAGAAAAATTTGAAAAATGTCTAACGTTCTTTTAAAAAATGACCAAAGTCATTTGCTTCAAAAATATTTTTTCCTTCTTTCTTTCTTGTTTCTTTTTTTCTTGTTCTTTTTCTTTCTCGTTCTTTCTCTCTTATTCTCTCTCTTTCTCACTTTGTCTCTTTTTTTTCTTTTGCATTTTTACTTCCTGAATTGTTGCTTTGAAATTTGAGTTTCCTTAGAATTGATCTTGCTGGTCTTTTTTTAAGGCCTAACTTTATAGAAATAACTTATATTTTTATTAAAATATTTATATGAATTGAAAGTAAATACTCTGTTAGAATGCTAGTTGTAAATTCTGGAGTTATAACCCATATTATCATGAAAACACCAGATTGGAGAATTATTAGTCACCTCTGCTTCTCAGTGATGTTTTCTAGCTGCAGAGAAGCAATTTTCAAAGTAGTCCTGAGTAACACAGCCTCCCCCCCCCCCCCGCTCAGGAAACAGGAAGTGGAAATTTCAGATTTCTGTTTTTATTGCCGTTGGTTGTAATTTATTTAGCCACTGAACCAAAAATCCAATACGCTCTTACTCTACAAAGCACAAAACTGAACAGATTGTTAGCCGTTTAAAATAATTATGGTTTCACAATTACCTATTTAACATAAAGTGATAAAATATTAGCATTTGCTTGGCAAATACTATATTTTACCTTAAAATTGATATCAGTAACACCTGTCCTACAGATTTACAGGTAAGGCAATGTTGGGTACTAATTTTTTTCCAAAGTATTTCTTAATTTAATGGAAAACTTTCAAGAACTCTGTTTTTTAATATTTTCTTCTAAAAATATATAATAGATTCTTTGCTGGAATTGAGAATCATAATATTTCCATAGGCCTTCTCGTTTTTTACGATCAGCCATTTAAAATGAAGATATGATGAAATTCTTTTAAAAAACATATTCCAGATAACTTCTGGAAAATAAAATTGGGAATAAAAACATGCATAACTTCGTGGAGCTAAAAAACATACCTAAGATTGTCTTTATAAGTTCCAAAAATGACAAAAAGTATGACACATGTAGTAATTCTCTTGTACTTCTTTCTGATTGATTCTCTCTATAGAAAACTCTTGCAATATGTACACCTTAATGCACAATATTTCATTGTTATCTCTTTTTTTTTAAGTTGGAAATATTTTACAGAGTTTTTTGTCAAAATTAGTAATACCTTAAGAAATCTTTTTGTGGTTGTAAAAGATTATGAATATTCAAATTGAAGTGAAAAGGGGTCATTATTAATGACTTGGTCTCTTCTACTTGTTAAAATACATGTATTTTTGTAAAAGAAATGCACTTGTAAATATTCAATCAACCTGTTTTGTTTTGGAAAAAAATGTTGCTACTTAGGGAATTACCTAGAAATGGTATTGCTTTGTATTCATGACAAATTCATTCTGTTCATGTCTAAATAGTTACAGCTGAGCTAGATTGGATTTTATATATGGACTTAACCCAAATATGTCTTGAGCATGCCACAAGAGTTTCTCATTAAATTCACCTGAAGGCAGAATATACATTGGTGCCGTGTTTTCATCTTCTGTATTAGCTTGGTGGTGTCTTATAATTTCTATTTTTGTCATTGTGACATAACAAGTTCATTTTGAGA